ACAAAAGACACACCACGGTTACTCAATGGTTGACCACGCGTTGTTGTCCTAATGATGGAGGAGGGGGAAAGGGACCAAACCGCCCAAGGTGCTTCGACAGTTCGGTCTCAACAGCGGTGCTGGCACCAGGTGGTGATGCCCTGGCCTATTCTGCGGGAGATGCAGAGATCTCCACTTGGAGAGTTTCCTCCTCCTCTGCTCCCTTCTCAAGGAGGGGATGAAGCCAGGAGCTGTCAGGATTTCAGCTGGAAGGATATGGAAAACGGCGATACTAAACCATAACAGAACGCCTGGAAACATTTCTGCCGTGTGCATGCGTTGGTGCAAAATATCCGACATCTGCAGAGTGAACAATGGCCCAATGACTTAGGGCTGCCTTGGGATGAGCTGTTTGAGCCAATTCCTGAGGATTGTGACCATCCCAAAGTTAGGAGTCGCGTTATGCTCTCAGACACCATCTCTTACTGCTCTAGTCTCTCTTGCACACGTGCACGTGCACACACCCAGACGTGAAGTCTGCCAAACAGCCCAGACAGGCAGCATCCACAGATGGCAAAGACATTTTAAGTTCTCCGTGTGCTTATTTCCTCCTTGTTGTGCCTGATCTCTGGTCGCCTTTGTTGACCTGCTTCTCTCCCCGCCTTCCCTCCCCAGCAAGCTGTCCAAAATACACACGTGTTTCCATATCGGTGGAATAGCAGCGCTGAGCACGGCGTGACTGAGAACAAAAGAGGCTCTTTGAGATGCTATCCTTTGAGAGTAGGTATTTAAGTTTGAAAAAAGCCCACTTAGGTAGATATATGACTCAAGTGGAGCCCCTGTGGAAGAACTGAAGCTAGCACATATACCACTAACTCAACACAGCAACAAAATGGCATATCTTTCTTTTAAATGAAAGCATGATACATATTTGGATTCTGTCATCATAATCTTTTATTGATGTTTCCGATAAAAGGGAACAGCTTTTTAAACTGCACCCTGGAAAAAAAACCCAACCCCTAATTCCCCAACAGCAACAAAAGCCTTAAAAAAGCCCTTTTATTAGCCCAAACAGGAAGGAAAACTAGAATTTCCTGCAGTTTTAACTTAATGTTTTCATAAGGAAACAAGTTATTGAAATATCTCAACCCATTTCCTCCACTTAAAATGCTAGTAGCCTTCTGTGTATTGTGGGTAAAACAAAAATACATGTCTTTTATCCACCCAGATCTTGCTGTGCGTAAGCAGCTCCGGCTCCGACTAATCATTATGTGGTCAGGGAATCACAGCCTAGGGACCGGGTGACATTTGACCACACAATTATTTTGGGGAACGGGGTGCACTTCATAGACACCAGGATGCTTTGCACCCTTGCAGCTATTTCCACAACAGTTTGGAGGAAAAGGATGAGATTCATTAAACACTGGTCACCTTTGCCAGGGGGGTAAAAAAAAAAATAAATCATGAACTAGGAGACGGGTAGGACACTGAACTAAAAAAGATTTTGTTTCCCTTAAATGACAGCTTGACTTCAACATCAAATTACACAATGGCTGAAAAATCCTAACAGCTCAAGTCATCTTTGGTATTTTTTTTTTTTTGCCAGCCTGTTTTGTTACCCAGTGGGAACTGGATAATCACATCTATTTTTGTGGAAAACAACATAGTTTTTCAGCTCAGTGTGTAGTTTTTATTTCACAGCCGAACACTGCAATTTATAAATGGCAAAACCTATGGAAAATTCTCTAAATTAAGGACTTTGTTGTATGTTATCATTTAACCCCTATTTTTCACTTTCACTAGATTTATTGGTGTTCCTGGCTGCAACGTTAAATGACTCTGAAAGCAGAGCAATTAATCCAAAATCCTATTTGTTTTAATCCAACGCTGTCAACTAGTTTTAGGTTTCTAGTCAAGAGAAAAAAAATGTTTGTTAAGCTCTACAGCGCTAGCTAATGTCTAAAGACAATCCTCTGAAAAGGTGCAAAGATATTTTATCACAGTACTATAGATGGAAAGGAGATTTATTATCGTACCTAACACCATTTCAGCAGATGCCTTTTGAATTATAATGAGATTATTAAAACTTTACAAATCATTATATTAAAACCTGACAGGAGTACTTTTGGAACTGGAGTATCTTGATGTCATTGCTAATGATGCATTACCAATGATAAGGTTTCAAGAAAATTCCTCAGTAAAAACTGGTTATAAAAATATAAAATATATTAATATTTATTTCAGTACCTGCTATAAGTTCAAGGATAATAGGTTTATATGCATCAGAACAGCCGAATGATCATATTTATGTCAGCATTAGAAAGATGTTCATCTGCTACAAAGTTTAATTAATTTTCACAGATAGTTAATTTTCTGTTTCATTATCAGGTCCCTAAATTTGAAAGACAAATAATTTATAAACAAATAGAAACTTCAGAGAGGAGTATTTTTAGAGCAAATGCAAGATAAATACCAGGAATGAAACATCAGCGCTGCATTCGAAGTACTAATATGAATGATATATTGTACGAGGTTTTGATTTATAACTCGCGCCTTCTGAAGCACAGGCTGAAAAGAAACAAATTGTTTACCGTTAACCCCAACCCATTTTCAGGTAATAAATGAGTCTGATCTTTACCAATCAAATAATGGCTCTAATGCCCTTAACCATCAGCGGATGAAGAATGTACATCTCTATGCGTCCTTTGGAGGGTGACCGGATCCTTGCAGGACAACTTTCCAGCCCCTCTCCCCTTCCCGGCAAGAAGGCAGTGAAAGCAGCTACTTACCATGATGTACGACGCCCTTCAACCCATGGATAATAGGATCCAGTGCCGGATTGTCCCTCTGACTGACCTACATGTAAAGGATACATGATTGGTTAAATCTATTCTGGCATCAGACAGAACAGTCTCAGTTTAATCTTCTAAAGAGAAAAAAAAAGATGTTATCTAGCAAGCTGCTTAGTTCTCACATTTACAATGGTTCCTCACCAAACGCCACAGATACACGGTATAATAAAATAAACCGAGGAAGGCTAAATCAAGAGGAAGAGTCCCCGGAATACATTAACGTATTAGAAATATTATCGCCTGGAAACAAAACAGCAGAGGTTTCTCTACCCATTTTAATTTGTTTGCTTTGCTTTCCGGGGGGAAACGTCATAGATAAAGAGTAGTTTAAAGTTACTAAACAACCGTCCATCACCTCCTGAAAGTGTTCGGAGTCGGATCTGTGAATCCACCTCTTCAACAACTGCATCCTTTTCTACCAGCAGCGCAGGCTGGTCCTCGGTCCCCTTTTCTATTTGTATTTTCAAAGTCGCTTCGTTAGAGTCATTTGGGAAGAGGAAAGGATAAAATCATACGTGGCAGTTCAGGGGTTAGCTTCTGAAATTTTGACAATGCAATCTTCCAGGTTTCCAGGGCAAAAAATTGCTTTCCTGTAGCACTTATGAGCCAGGAAATTGCATTGTCCTTAGCTGTGATAATAAAGCCACGATCCAGAGGGAAAAGTGAAAATCCAGGCAAAGGGACAGTTAAGTCCCATCCTTCCCCACTTCCAGCTCAAACACAACTTCCAGAAGAAGCCTCCATCTGTCCCTTATTTGCAGTACAGCTAAGCAAAAACCAGCTGCCAAGAATGGGATGCAATTTTTGCCCCCCACCATCCATGAAGCATTGGTGGAATAGCTTGCTGTGTTAACGAGCACGATCATTAATTACCTGGGTCACACTTCGGGTTTGGTTGGGGGAGCGGGGTTGCCAATAGTCAATATTTGAAATCTGAGGGATGCTGTTTCC